TGAGCTTAAGGTTTGAGACATAGTGTTGTCATTATTTCCTCAAGCTACAAATCCGTATTTTGGCTCCATGTCTAAAAGTTGGAGTATTTAGAAGAGTCAAAATTTGATGTTCAAAATAGCAAAGACATTTGTTATAATAAATTTAAAGTACGAAGAGGTAGGATTCCAAAATAAATTTAATGAATTGTTTAAAAGAAGTATATCGTATATAGCTTCACAACCATATAAGAATATCGCAAACCTGTCGTCTTATACTCTTACAGAAATAGAAGAAATAACGTTAGATTTTAATCTCTCATTTTCTTTCCAAAACACTGACCTCAGTATTGATTTGCTATCAAATGTTATTAAATCGGCTAAAGATAATAATGTTGATTGAACTTTTTTTAGCTGGTTGAATAACCACATAACTCTTACAATAGAAAATGAAGTCCTAGAGGTTCTTCATTGTTTCACAGAAGTCTTAAGAATATTCAAAACGAATAGGGACATTCTCAGTAGCTAAACTTGAAAAAAGCTACTTATGAAATAAAATTGAAGGATTTACTAATGAACGAAAATACTTACGAGAAAATCGGGGCTAACCCATTTTCCAAGAAGGTATCGGATTTTAACAATCTCTCCGAAAAAATCCTGAGTGGTTATCCCGACCTCTTACAAATCTATAAACGGATCATTTCTTCTCTGTCGTAAATGTAGGGGTTGCCTAAAACGCATAAAGATAACTGCCCTCCTACACTTATAACTTCTAATGTAGTATCAGTTACGCATGTATTTATATGTATGCATGTATGTTTTCTTATAGAAAAGCCACATCAGGCTATCTGTTGTTGCCACTGAGGAGATCGAACTTCTGATTCTAGCGTTGTAAGTCCGAAGACTTACCGCTGTATGTATATATAATCCAATTGGTTAGCACAACACCTATCTCATGGTTTAGGAAAGTTCTCATCGTCACATATTCTGAATAATATAAATTTTGACAATAAAATGAAAAAAACTGTAATGTAAATGAAGAGTGTGTGTATGTTTTCTTATAGCAAAGCCACATCGGGTTATCTGCCCTGTCTACCAAGAGGGATCGAACCCCTGATTTTAGAATTAAAATCCGAAGACATGCCGCTGTCCCACAGGGGAACTGTAAAAGAAGGATGTTGATTCTTTGTTTACAAATATATCAATCAACGAAAATAGACTTATTAAACAGAAAATTACTTGAACTCAATATTCTGCTTCCGATCCCTGAATATACTTTTATCTCCCTAGTAGAAGTATGGTTTGGTTTGTTTTGAATTTCGCGCAAAGTTACATGAGAGCTAGCCATTCCTAATTTAACAGTGAAAAACAGACTACATAAATAAACAAATCAACCACATAAAGCATTCCTTCATTCACACCAACAAATTTCCACCAGCTATTGTTGAAAAACTCTCCAATCTTCACCACAACAAAACTCAACTCGCGAACAAAATTGACACTAACAAACCCAACAACAGAACATTACACTGCAGTTTACCTTTTGTTCCTGAAACCAGCTCAAGAATTATTCACACTTGGACAAAACTAGCTATTAAACACAATATTCCTGTCAACGTCAAATTCTCACAAAAACCCGGCCTTAAATTAAAATCGTTACTAAACAAAAATTAGTTAGAATCACGCAATACCAAGGTCATTTACAAAATAATATGCAATAACTGCCAAGAATTCTACATTGGAGAAACAGGAAGAAAATTGGAAACCAGATTGACAGAAGACAATAAAAAACCGTCCCATGTTTTTCACCATTGCAACTCAAAAAACCACAGTATATCTATTAAAAATACGGTCATTTTAAACAAAGAACCCAACATAAACAAACGAAAAATCAAGGAATCCATCTTAATTGAACAAAACAACCCTACTCTAAACCAACACCCTGGAGTGCCAAGATACCTCTTCTAAGTTTTGCAACAGTATCCGGTCATGTGACATATTTGTTCAATACTGTATATGTATATATATATATATATATATATCTGTGTCAGTGTAAACTACTTGTACCTGATCATGACAAAACCTTGTCCAGACGTTGTACATTTACTGTTATGTTAAACTTATATTAAAGTTTTTCTTCATTACCCATTCAAGCCGTCTCCAAGCATTATTATTCTTACAGAATTTTCTTACAACCAAAGCACCCACGGGTACATTAGGTGTGATCTCAGCAGAATGATAAGGAACAAAGTAAGCTTAATAACTTTCATCAGAACACATTATGCAAAACACTTCATAGATTCAGATCAAATAAAAATATTTAAAACCACTTCTTTAAAACGAGGAGGCAGAAAATGCATGGTATGTTTACATAACACACTTTTCTTTTCCCCTTTATTTCAGTCTTGTCCTCAATTTAATATTTAAATTTACCTTTAAAACCAATCAACTTTACACTCGCACTTTATGTATGCACTTAAAGAAACAACTAAAACTCGAAAATATAATCCCTTTAACAAAGATACAAGCACTCACAAAATACCATTTAACAACGAAGTAGCACATTTCAGCATCATTACACAATACATAATAATGTATTTTAATAATAATAATAATAATCATAATACAAAAGTATAAGATCAAAACTGATACACATACATACTCACACAAGAATGCCTTGTACCAAAATGGAACATACAGTAAAATCAAAATGCAAAATAAGGCCTTGACAAAACAAAAAATCATATTATTAAATAAGCCTTTTAAAAGAAAATCACTACATAAAATCTAATTACAACTTAAACAAAATGAACCTTTTAGACAAAAATACAGCAACAATCAACAGAAAAAATTACAAGAAATACCCTAGGAATAATATACACAAAACTAATACCTATTGATGCAAACCCAGACATTGTTAATTACATCAAAAAGGTTACACACTTGTTGACTACATGGTCTGGTAAAATTATTTATACGAATAAAAAAAAGATTTATAAACAAAAATTCAGAATTACAAAAATATTGTTACGTCTCCGTTTGTTAATTGA